TGCACGCACACACACCCCCCTTAATCGCCACTACTGGACCTGTTCTACGGGAGTGGTCATGGACACCTTATTATTTTATCATGACATGCTGTTAGTGCTTCAAAATGACTCATGAAGAATGTATTTTCTTTTCCTTTATAAAGGTAACAATGAAGAAATAGAAAACCAAGCCTTTGAAAACAAAAATAAAGAGAAAGAAAGAAGGAAGGAAGAAACAGAGCAAGCATAAAACAGGGCCGCCATGACTGTCTCCCAGCTTCCTGGCAGCCAGGACAGATAAAGAACAAATCCTGCCCCAGCACTCTCCTCAGAAGGGAAGAAGCCCACGGTTATTTTGGTCCTTTAAACCCCATGCTCAGTTCTCACCTGGAAGCCCACATAAGGACATTGATAGACACAATAATTAATGTTTTTGGCAAGCGCTTTACCGCAAATGCCAATTTTTGTCTGCCATTTCTTGTGCAGGCCTTTAATTAAGGTCAAGGGCTTAACACTGAGGCAGACGTCGGTGAGGGCTTGGCTAACCTGGTCCTACAACCGACTGCAACACAATGCAGCCTTAGAATAAAGGGCTGCTTTGCACTACAAGCGAGGTGGAGCTCAGAGGACCATGCGGTTATCTTTGAATCGGAACGTGAAGCAAGCTCTGACAAAGGAGGCAGCCATTGGGACTCCATGACTGGAAATCAAGATGTCGGAATTGGGATGACAGCAATGGAGGTTTGTGTACAAGTGCAGGGCCTTGTGAAACGGAAACGCCTGGCCTGTTTGGAGAATGTCAAGTTGTCTGGAGTCGAGAGAAAGATGCTAATAAGACTTCCATTAAATAAGTCGGGTTTACCACTTGGACATTTTCTGGTTCTTCCAAGACAACTTTTTTGTTGAGTTAAGCGAAAATGAATGAGAATCAGATGGACCACATTTCTCTTGAATACACACGGGCTTAACAATGAAGGGGGGAGAAAGAACTTGACAGAATGTGTCCCGGCTTCTGCCAAACCCAAAGTATTTGAAGAATCACACAGGACGCAGCTCGAACCCAAACACATGCCCGGCTTCTCCAGCTCCTAATTGCAGCTGCAGCCGGTTAATACAATGAACTGTGCCCATGAAAATGGGGTCTGAATGCAGGGCCCACGTTAAAGGGAATGACTGCTGTGGGCTGGTGAGCTGACCTCACCCTCCAGGAACCAGTTCATTGCCTCGCAGGGAAAGAGAGTGGACCAATGTGAAGTTTCTTAGACTATTGAATCCAGATCTCTTGTAGAGAACAATTAAAGTCTGTTATTTAACTTCATTGTATCGAGTGTGAAAAGAATTCAGCTTCTCTTGTTTCCTACATCGGGTATACAATGGGGAAGAAATATGCCTTGCCTCAGGGTCTATTCACCCAAATGGGTACCCACTGGGAGCTGGGGAAGGAAAGACAGCGAGACTCTGGTGTACTTGTATTCGAATTCTGAACTCGTGGCTAGAAGATCATTTTGTTTGAGAACCAGAAGGAACCTGAGATCCAGAGAAGTTAACTGGCTTGTTACTTGACCACAGCTGGCTGTTTTAGAGTAGAAACTTAAGACCAGAGCATTGATTCTACCCTCGCTTTTCTCTTTTTAAAGGAAGGGTCTCATGTAGCTCAGGCTGGCCTCAAACTAGCGGTGCAGTTCTTCCAAGCCTTTAGCCTCTACTTCCCAAGTGCTGGGCTCCCAGGCATACACCACCACCTTGCTTGGTTGATGTGATCCGAGGATGAAACCCCGGACTCTGTGTGTGTGCTAGGCAAGTCCTCCACCAACTGCGCTGGATTCCCAGTTCCACGAGCCTTCTCCCTCATAGAAAGCACATTTTCCTTTCAGCTATATTTAGGAACTAAAAATAAAAGTGAAACATTTTCCTTCTAAATATTTTTAAAGACATGGTCTCATGATGCCCAGGCTCGTCTCTAACTTGCTATGACCTCTTGATCCTCCTGACATCTACCTCCCAAGTGCTGGGATTATAGGTGTACCCACCCGTCTGTGTGTGTGTCTGTATGTGTTTTCTCTCTGCTCACTCTGCACCCTAGACTTGTCTTTGCTTTCCCGGTGCTGGAAGGGCAGCATTGTGCCCCCCACCCCCAGCCCTCTGTCTTTATAAACAGACACATAAGTGTCTCGGTGAGTGCTCGGTGGTGACCACAGGCTTGAACACCCTCAAACATCTACTCAGACATCTTCTGAAAGTCTGTCATGCAGCCTGTGTGGCCACAGGGCTTAGACACCCAAAGGGCAGCAGTGATTGGAATGGAATACGGGAGAGGTGAGGAGCCATATAAGAGGATGCACTGGAGGGCTTTGAACTACAGAAGGTGGTTGCCTGCCTAGATCTGCACTTGGAGAAGGCAAGAGGAAGACTGGGATGGGTAGTTGGAATGGGGCAGTGAGCCTCGAGGTTGGCTTGGGATAGAGCACGTATCGGTGGACATAGTGGATGGAAAAGTGAGCAAGTGGTAGATATCTCAGGGTCTCAGGTTCCACACGAAGGCTGCTTGTGCTTGATGGTCTTGGCATACCAATGACTGTGAAAGCCCATTGTCTTGAAATTAAAATCTCTTCTTCTTCTTCTTCTTCTTCTTCTTCTTCTTCTTCTTCTTCTT